GGGATAGGGTGGTGGGTGCCGGGCAGCGGGCAGGATGGAGGCTGTGGGATGTGGTCCTGGGGAGCAGCATCCTGCTGGGAGCCCCACTCACCATACATGGACACTTCCGTGCCCTTTCCATGCTGAAACACCTCAGTGCCCTGCAGAAACCTCTGGAACTTCACGCAGTAATAGGTGCCGGCATCCTCGGGGCGAACATCCCTGATGTGGATGGTGAAGTCCGTGTTGGACCCAGTCACTGCCCTCGTCACACGGGGGAACGTGCCCGTCTGCTCGTAGATGGTCTCATTCTCACTGCCCCAGCCCTTCAGCCACTTCACAGGACCGACGGGACCGTCTCCAGACGTGGTGCAGGTCAGGGTGAGCGTCTCCCCCGCTGTCACCCACACTTGGTCCTGGGGCTGATGCAGCTTGAAGTCCTGATCTGCCTGGGCACCCGCTCCTGGGGGGGGAAACAACAGGTCAAATCTCATGTGGCACCAAACACCCAGCAGGTTCCCTCCTCATCCCCAGCCTGGACTGATCATGCAGAAATATGCATCCCCTGTCGTGCTGTTAACAGAGGTGCTGTGCTTGCTTGAGTCCGGAGAGGTGCAGAGGGAGCCAGGGGGAATTCCTGGCAGGAAAAGCTCCCAAGTGCTGTTAAACATTAACGCCCCAGCTCTGTGTGACACGGACCAGGACCGCTGGGGCTCTACGAGGAAATGGGTTCATAGCTCGGGACTGCGCGCTGCCGGCCGAGAGCCGGCTCTGAGCAGGGATGTGCAGCCCTGTGGGAGCCCAGGGCAGAGGGTCCAGCAGCATCACACACCTCTGTGCTCTCAGGGAGGCAGAGCTGTGCCAGCGAACACCCGTGGTGCTCAGAACAGCTAAAACACAAAGCAAATCCCAGCTGCCTCCCATCACTGCTCAGCTCTGTCACAGGGGAGGAAACAAGGGCGCAGAATCCAAGGCACTCCAGAACACAAGCTCCCTCACAGCTGCACCACCACGTATTGCACTGAGAGTGTCCCACTTCTGCAGTGACTCCAAGCCCTGATTCCTTCCAGCAGAGCACAGCCATGAGCTGGAGCTGGTGCCAGTCCGGCCGACGCCGTCCCTGCTCATTGCCAACAGAGGAGGGCGGTCCCCTTCCAAGCATCCCTCATCCAGCCAACATCACTGCATCTCCCCACGCAACCAGAGAGCTGCTGCCGCAGGTGACCCCACATGGGTACCAATGCACCTTCCCACACACAGGGAGAAACTCCCGAGGTCTCCAGGAAAACCACGGGAGTTCCGCTCTCTCTATGGGCAGGTAAGAACAAACTGCACCTCCCCAAATGCCACAACAAAGTGCAGCAGCCCCATCTGAGAGTAGGCACGGATGGGGCTCCAAGTCCACCACTGTGCAGGAGGGATGCACCAGGAGCTGCTCAGCCCCACGAACCAGCGGTGCTGCTGCTCCCTAAGAACAGCCACAGCAGCAGAACAAGCCACCCTGTAGCCTACACGGCTCCTTGAGGGGCTGGTTTTGGCAGTGCCTGCCATGCCAGTGCAGTTACTACAACCAGATTGAATGAGATTTTGATACAGGTCACTGCTTAAAGGAACAGTTTTA